GGAGGGAGGGAGGGAAGGAGGGGGCTTTGAAAGGAAGGAAAGGGGTTTTTGTATGTCTGTTTATATTGCTTAGATCTTTCTTTGCCTGCTAATATATAAATGAAAAAAGATTTTAATGAGGATTATGTTATTATTTATTGTTGACTTCTAGCAATTAGTTTTCATAAACCTGTTTTTTTTTTTCTTTTTCTTCTTCAGAAATTAAAACACAGAGCACGGGGTTGTTCCCCTGATATCAGACAGATAGACCTTGACGTGAACCGCACATTCAGGGACCACATCATGTTTAGAGACAGATACGGTGTTAAGTAAGTAACGTTTAATATTACAAAATGTAAATAGCATGTGTAATGGTCTCATTACAGTCTTTAAGGTAAACTGTGCTTTTCGAATGTCTTGTTTGGATTATAATCTTTTTTTAGGTCCTAACGTTTTTTGCAGATCATTTGCATTCATGTTGACTGAAACTGGGGTCTAATTTCATTTAACATTTCAAAACACTGACATAGTACATGCTATAAAATTGGTAAGGGACCATTTTATGATCTCAGAATTCTTAAAAATATTTTGTGGACACTAGGGAGGCTGAGACAGGAGAATTGAAAGTTTGAGGCCAAACTTTATATAAGTAAGAACTTACATGCATTATAGTGATAAGGCTATATCCATAATAATGACCTCATGAATAAATGGAACTTAAAAAAAAGAAAATGACTTAAACAAGAGGTTAATGTACAGAGTCCAGCAGAGCGTTTTTACTTCCATGGGAGGACGAGCCATCACTGTGTCCGTGTGTGAAGGGAAAGGGACTGTTTTGTTGATCTCTGTATCTTCCAGAGTCCAACCAGCAAAACAGAAACTGTAGGAGATAGTATTAAGATTGGCTTGACCAGGAAGTGGCAGGCTTCGAAGCACACAGTTCTGTCAGTTTTGGATAATTTCACCAATTCAAGTTCTATGGACAGTGGATTTAATCATGTGTGTAAACCCTATCACAGCAGGGCCTAGGTCACCGCTTGGATAGTTCACTGCTTACATAATAAGGAATGGTAGCCTGGCTGCTGACTGTTATAGCTGACCACTGCAGCCTGTCCTTGTCAATTTGGTGCTCACTCACATCTCCTTACAAAATGATGTATCTGTGTACTGTGATGCAACTGTTTTGCTTAAAGCTGAAAACACATTAACCCTTTGACCACAAGTAGACTCCAAGTACTTTGCTGGTAGTCACCCTTAAATACTTAAATATAGTTACCTATTAATACTTCTAATATAAGGTGGTAAGAGAAAGAAGATACTAATACATAGACATTCATACCAATATATAAGGGAAAAGTGTTAGTAATTACCATGGTTATCTCCATGTCAGAATGTTTGTAAATACTGTCTTTTATTATCCTTCCCTCAGCAAGTACCTCAGCTGTGTGGTAGGACTCTGGCCTTCAGTCCTGAAAAATCTGGACCACTAGCAGTCTCCCTAAATTACGTTGCTGTAGTTTCCATAGCTTCCTTTACATACATGTTCCTTGTATGTACTTATTTTATACTAAGAAATTTCTAAAATATTTCCCTTATCCCAGATGTGAGTGTGTGTGTGCGTGTGTGTGTATGTGTGTATTTGTTTTAGGTAGTAGCATCTATCTTCCTCCTCGTAATCAGGATGAAGTGATGATGGTGTAGTCACCTCTTTTGCCTGCTGATCCCAAAAGAGCCATAAGGACCCCCAACAGTTGGGTGGTTGTGTCACTTCCTGCGTGACTGACTTACTGCTGTGTCTCTCTACGGGTCATTCCACTTTTATGTTTTGTTCTGCTTTGCTTGGTTGGCTTTTTGGGTTTGTTTTTTTGTTTTTTTTTTTGTTTTTTTAAGACAGAGTCTCACTATAGCTAGCCCAGGGTGGCTTAGGACTTACGATCCTCCCAAGTGCTAGGAGTACAGATGTGTACCACCAGGCCCATTCTGTTAGAAGTAAGGTCTCTGAGTCAGTGAAGACTGAAGTGGCAAAAACCAGAAGGCAAAACATAGCAGTGAGTTGTTAGGGGTGTGGTGAGGGGCAGGTCCCTGCATCACTCCGCTGATCATCAGAGTCCAGGTAGAGGGTGCTCATTTCCTGGGAGGTGGCCTCCCAGGCTGCCCTTCTGTACTCAGCTGCTGCTGTTAGTCTCCTGAAGCCACCCACGGTCTGTTTCCCATAGTTGCTTCAGAGTAAGACAGCTAAGTGAAGGAAGGCAATGGGCTTAAGAAGCTCCGTGAAGCGGTGGCGCTCTCCATACGAAGGTTTCTGTCTGAATGTGTGATAACGTAGCCTCAGATGGAAACTCTTGACCATTCTGGTTCAATTTGAGCTTAGGATACCTTTTTTTAAAAAAACACAATAGTAATTTTACCTGGATTATTTGTTTTTAGTCGACCTGAGTTTTGTTTTTTTGTTTTGTTTTTGTTTGGTTGGTTGTTTTCAGTTTTCCAAGACAAGGTCTCTCTTTTTCTGTGTAGACTAGGCTGTCCTGGAACTCCTTTTTGTAGACCAGGCTGGCCTCAAATCAGAGAAAGCCACCTGCCTGTGCCTCCTGAGTGCTGGGATTAAAGGAGTGCACCACCACTGCCCAGCTTGTCAACCTGTTTTTTTTTTAAGTTTGTAATTTTAAAAATCAACTAAATTTAAAAAGAACTAAATTCTGTTTAATGTAAATTTTTATTTGTCTAGGCAACAGTCCTTATTCCACGTCCTCGCTGCTTATTCTATCTACAATACGGTAAGTCGGTCCGTGCCCGCCTGCTTAGTCTGTCTGTAACACAGTAAGTCGTCCGTGCCCGCCTGCTTAGTCTGTCTGTAATACAGTAAGCTGGGCCATGCCCGCCTGCTTAGTCTGTCTGTAACACAGTAAGTCGGTCCGTGCCTGCCTGCTTAGTCTGTCTGTAATACAGTAAGCTGGGCCATGCCCGCCTGCTTAGTCTGTCTGTAACACAGTAAGCTGGGCCATGCCCGCCTGCTTAGTCTGTCTGTAACACAGTAAGTCGTCCGTGCCCGCCTGCTTAGTCTGTCTGTAATACAGTAAGCTGGGCCATGCCCGCCTGCTTAGTCTGTCTGTAATACAGTAAGTCGTCCATGCCCGCCTGCTTAGTCTATCTGTAATACAGTAAGCTGGGCCATGCCCGCCTGCTTAGTCTGTCTGTAATACAGTAAGTCGTCCGTGCCCGCCTGCTTAGTCTGTCTGTAATACAGTAAGCTGGGCCATGCCCGCCTGCTTAGTCTGTCTGTAACACAGTAAGTCGTCCATGCCCGCCTGCTTAGTCTATCTGTAATACAGTAAGCTGGGCCATGCCCGCCTCATCCTTGACTTTGATTCTAGGGAACTAGACATTCTTCCTGGCCCTCTACCTAACAAGGCACCTGGAGACCCAGTTCTTCATGCCCGATGGCCTCTACAGCTCCCGTGTTGAGCCCAGGGCCTCAGAACTGTTTGGAAGTAGAAAACCCTAGGTACCACCCCAGGATGCCAGTGAGCTTCACTTTTTCTCCCCACAGAGTGTTTTGTTTTATTACATTTTTGTGCTCTTTGGTTTTCTTTTTTGAAGCATGTCTGGGTAGAGCAGTGGCCTGGTGGCTGCTGGCTCTGTTGCTCCTGACAGTTAATGTTCCAGTAGTCTAGCTTATCACCTGTTGGAGGTCTACAAGGAACAGACGAAAACTTAACCTTATAGCTTCAGAAACACAGGTGACAGGACATGAAAGTGGGAGTTGGGAGGACTTGCCAGCAGCTGGGAACTCAGTGAATATTGGCGTTCTTTACAAGCTGTATTACAGTATCAAGCACACAACAGATTTGAAATGTAGCTTGAAGGTTTTCCCCACACCTGTTTACTCTTGAGCAGTGTTTCATTTTATATATGGCCTGATGTTGTAGCTATTGCAACAGTTTAGAATTGTCCAGTAATGCATCTAAGCATTTTCTGGTATTTTATACATTAACCTTTCCCGTGTCTATGTTCATGGAATTCAATTGTAAAGCCCCCAGTCTGTTCTCATTGTTCTTAGGAAGTCGGCTACTGCCAAGGGATGAGCCAGATCACAGCTCTGCTGCTTATGTACATGAATGAGGAAGACGCCTTCTGGGCCCTGGTGAAGCTCTTCTCAGGCCCCAAGCATGCTATGCACGGTAAGAAAGCCTTACACATACCTGTAAATAAGCAAGGGACACACACACTGTCCTGTGAGGTCAGTGCTGCAGTGATGGTCCCTGGTCTTACTGTGTGACTCAGGTGTCACTCATGTTCAGGGTTGTGAGAATTTTCAGTTTTCTTTATTCAGCTTTTCTATTTACATTGAATTTTCTTTGTCTTTTCCCCAAACTGTATTTCTGACATTTTAAAATTCTTTTTTTCATTTGCTCTCTGTCAAAAGAAATTAATTTAGTTTTGGAAGAACTTAGAACAGTCTATTTTAGGAAGAATAAAAGGTAGCCTTTTGGCCAAGACACTTACTGTTCTAATAAGATGCTAGATGCTTTGATATACAACTTCATTAAAGAATATTAATCAAGGAAGGAAACAGGTGTTTAAAGGAACATAATAATTGAGTAGTTTTATATTTCAGGTGTGGTTTTCAGTTCTTCAAGTTGCACATTTCATTCTATTTAAGGAAAAGACTAATAACACGTTTAGAGCTCTTGATTATTAGTACTTCATGAAACACATAATTTTTATTTGTTTTCCAATTGGCAGGCTGAGTTTAATGGCCCTTTCCTTACATTTGCCAAGAAAATGCAGTAAACCCTATTTCAGAGTTTGCACTCTGTAGCTTGTCATAGGAGTGAACATGGTTGTTGCTCACACACTATGCGCAGGGTGATGTGCTGTCTTCTTTCTCGTGCTGTTTGTATGGTAGCAGCAGTCTTATGACAGCTTGACTAGCTGAGGACCTCACTCCATGATGGAGCACCTGTCTAGCATGTGCAAGGCCCTCAAGTCAGTGCCCAGTACTAGTTAAACAAGGACAGTGTTAGTTACTCTAACAATGAAACACTTACACTCACTCTGTGAGTATATAAGCTCAATACAGTGGGGAACCTATCACAGGGAATGCCCATTTAAGTATTTCAAAATGAAGGTCCTCCATAGTTGTATACACAGTCATGCGACAGGCTAACCTGTAAGAAAGGTATGTGTTGCCATCTTCTGGTTTAAGAAGGACACCTTGACTAAAGCTCATCTTTGCCATCAGCCTTTATCTGGCCTTGTGTGAGTATTTCCTACTTCAGTGATAGGTTCATTGGATGGTGATGTTTTCATCCGATTTCAGAGAATGGGATTTTCTTTCAAGCCTCCTTGCTAACGTGGCTTCACCAGTCAGTATTATCAGCCTACCTTTAAGCAGTTTTAACTGTACAGTCCTGTTGTTTGTCCTCACAGTGGAGTTTAGGCTCTCTGTGGGTAACTTTGTATTGAGAACTCGTCTGTAGACCTGTGCAGTGTGACTGAAGTCTACTTCTGCTCTCTGTGTTTTCTGGGTGAAAGTGTAGCACTTGTGAATGTATGGAGTCTCCCTAGAACTGGGTAGAGAGTAATCTAAAATACTCAGTCCGGGGTGTCCCTAAAAAGTGAAGATGTCAGGTAATTGTAGCATGCTTAAGCTGGTTCTTGCTGAAGTGCATTGACTTTTTTAAAAATCAGATTCTTCTTGAAATTTTTCTATCTCCCATTGCTGTCAAATTGACCATGAAAGTGGCTCCAATGAAGAGATAAAGATTTTTAAATAAAATCATTTTACTGTAAAAACTTATTACTAAGCAAAGGACAGAATCTTCGGAGATTTTTACACACATTTTCAAAACTGAAACCAAGTTGTAAATGCAGCATTGTGTTGATGTGCTCCCTGTGTTACTGATATACACTGGGAGCCATTGGTTTTGTTTTTTACTTCCACTAAATGGCAAGTGTGAATTTTGTATACTTTTATTAGCCAGTATCAAGTTACATTTTACAGAACTGTATATGCATTTTGTTAAGGGTTTTTGTTAGAAAATTTACTAATTAAGTGTGCTAGGATTTTTCATTACATTTTATGGTATGCTTAGAAAACCATTGGTTTTTTAAGTCACATGTGGTATGGAATAATTCATGGACTCTCAGATTAAACAAATATGCAAAACTAAATTAAAGCAGAACAGTCTTCATCAAATCAAAAAGATGGCTTAATTTTTATAAGCTCTTGTCAGTAATGAATCTCCAAGGAGAATGTGTGTGGCACGTTTCCCTGGCTTCTTAGAATACCGAAAGATGTCTACTGACATCTCCGAGATATGCTTAGAAACTGGTTTGAAAGTACTAATTGCCAAAACAAAGTCCATTGAGTGTATGGTCTTGAAATGGATTATATAAATATCTGAAAAGGAACTTATGAATAAAAATAGTTATAAATTCAGTGAGCTGAATATGCAAATTAGTGCCAATTTACCATTTACAGTTACTTCCTAGAAACCCTCCAGATCACAGTGTATTATATGTAAGTTTTGGTGTAACTTACAGTGCCTGCATGTGTTAGCTGATGGTAAGAGAAGAGCTGTCAAAATGGGACAGCTTAGGAGATAGATGGGCAGCCTTGGAAACAGAGGCTGTTTGAGAAGTACATTCTGTTTCTGTTGTCTTTTGCTGATACTGTTTTTCTCCTAATTTAGAAATATGTTTTCCTCTAACAGTTTTACTAAGTAAAGGTGGTATTTAGCAAAGAAGTACTGGCTAAAAGTCTTACTACCCAGAGTTCACACGACATCATTCTCATGATGAGGAGGACGAAGGCTGAGGGAACTAGGGATGCTCTTCACTTTCATAACTACAAGCGCAGTGTGTTACGTACGGCTTTAAGTCAGGGGGTTGTTGGTAATGTCTCTGAAGGTCTGTTTTTTGTTTGTGTTCTAGGTTTTTTTGTCCAAGGCTTTCCTAAACTTTTGAGATTTCAAGAACATCATGAGAAAATTCTGAACAAATTTTTGTCCAAACTTAAGCAACACTTGGTAGGTAGTTGCTCACACTGAGGGAAGGTACAGTCATCAAATCTAGCCTGGGTTCCCTGTTCCTGGTTAGCTCACTATGTGCCCATAAGCTTCAGTTGCTTGAAGAACAGTAGATTTATAAAATGTAGCATTAATGTACTACCACAGTCGTAATCACAGATTCAGAATGCTTCTATGAAGCGGATAGGTACTAGGAATAACATTTTTCCAAGTGTGATTTTGCCATTGTTTTGGAGGTTTTAGGTTTGTACAAAAGCATTATAAGAATTACAAAAAACTGAGTCCTTGTGGAACATGTGCATGCTTTACTATAAAATACGGTGCAGTGAAGTAGTGCACTGTAAAAAAAAAAACTAGTTCACTGTAAAAAAATTAGTTACAATCTTATTATGGTGACACAAATTTTGTGATGATTCTTATGAGTTAAATTTGGGGATTAAAAATGGGAATAGAGAAGCAGAGAAAATTTGAAAGTGACCTTTGACTGCAGCCTCCGGTGGCCTTCCCTGTACTGTTGCTATTTTGTTTGCTACAACTCAGAAATTATGAGGTCTTTGTTTTTTAGGATTCTCAAGAAATCTACACAAGTTTTTACACAATGAAATGGTTTTTTCAGTGTTTTCTTGACCGAGTAAGTACTATCTGTAAACCTCAGCTATGAAAGCACTGTCCCAAGTGAAAGGAAGCCCTGACTCACGCCACCCTGCCTTGTCTCTCCTGCAGACTCCCTTCAGGCTGAACCTCAGGATTTGGGACATCTATATCTTTGAAGGAGAGCGAGTTCTTACTGCGATGTCTTACACAATCTTGAAACTACACAAAAGTAAGAAGACATTTGGCTTAAAAGGCTTTATAAAATCAAGGCTTATTTTAATTCTGACTAGCTTGGGCTTCCTCTACCTCATGCTGTTGCTTTAGCTTTTTTGAACCTACCAGTCTTTAGATTTTTCTTGAGAGTCAGCAGGGAACTCCTGCTTCTCTCTCAGGACGAGGAGCTACATCAGAGAAGGCCTTGGGCTCCTCACTTCCTGTGCCTGTTCCACATTCACCCAAACACTAGGATGCTGGGTTTGGGGTCACTGAGAATATTCTTCTCGAGTGTTGTTTTCCACTAGGACCCTCATTCTTTTAACTGATCTGAGTCTCCTAGGTGAGTGGGCGTGGAAAATGTCTGTTACTGTTTATTTCTCTAACAGAAAGAACATCAGGTTCAAGCTCTCCATAGGACTTGAGTGTCATGGCCTCTGGAGCAGCAGGGCAGATGCATTAAGTCTCTCCCTGCATAAATGCAGAAGGTTTTCAAAACAAAAACCAAAGACCTTTTAGTCTTGAGTTGCAGTAGTTCAGGGGCTCTGTGGGAATGATGTACTGGGCCTCAAAAGCCAGGAAACGTAAGCCTTGTAACTTTTCTTGTAGCTCTATAGAGGTACGGCTCATAGGTAGCCGAGAACTTAATGTTGTGTGTCCTCCACACTTACTGTGTTCCCTACCCTCATACGTCATTCTTCAGTGATTTGTTCAGCCTTCGGAGTTGAGGGCATTGTCAAGTCTATGCTTTGTGTTCTTGCTGTCCCTGGCCACACTCGGTGCTCTCCTTGAGACTGCCTGGTCCCTGACTTGGACGCAGTAAGCACATTAGAGGCTCATTAGCTGTACTTCCCCTGCGATGAGATCTCAGTGTCTATGACTTTCCAGGGAAGATGTCAGAAATGTGCTTATGGCTGACACACAGGCTAACACACCAACACAAAGCATTGGTGACACACTATCTCCTGGAGTCTGGGTGTGTTGGCGCTGGGGGAAAGCCTCTTTCTCCTTCTCCTCTCCTCTCCCTTCTTTCTTCACATCACAGGTTATAAATAGATGAAAATATACTAAAAAGTATATCTTAATTAAATAATAATTTAATGGTCCCTAAAAGCGAAAAAAGTGGGGTTTTCTTTATACTCTCACCTCCTTAAATTATTTCTCTTAACATGACTCCGTACCCCTCGAACTGTGAGCATAGCAATTACTTTACTGGCCAGTAAATCATTAAACTGTGTAAGCTGGGAAAATGTTCCTGCCTGCTGGGCTGTCTGTTTCTTGTTTAAGAAGCAAAGCTCTTAGATGTTCAGTGGGTTCTCTGCACCACCACATGAGGAAGTAGGTGTTGAGGAGCAGGGGCACAGATGTTGCTCTCGGGCTACAGTTTCACTCAATGACAGAATAAATTTTGGAGGTGTACTGTGTGAATCAGTGAGCATGGTTAGTTATGTATAACATAGCTGAACGATACTAAAAGTAGATTTTAAGTGATTTCCTCACAAAAATAAGTCTGCTTGGTGATAGGTGTACTAGTCACAGTGAATAGTCACTCCACAGTGGGGAACCTGCATTAGAACACTGTGTGGTTTGCCATAAGGCTTTACACCACATCATGTAGTAGTTAAAACAAAACAAAACAGATAACAAAACAGAAAAAGGAAAAAACAAAAAACAAAAATAACCAAGTCTCTCTCTGGGTACTTAACAGCTGAACCTAGCCAGAGATGTTTTCCTCTATTTCTTCCTGATTGCTTTAACACTAGTATTACTGGAGATTGATCACACATGGTTGTAAATGGGAAAATGGGAGACAGGTGTAAAGCACGTGACTGGACTAAGCGAACAGTTACATCACTAGTAATAATAGCTGAGAAGGAACATTGACTTGCTTTTCAATGAAGGAGGGAAGGTGAGCCCAGACTGTAACTTGTGTTGTGAGTGGATGCCCATGGACAGCCATGAACATGACACTTCTTGTAAGGTATGGGCAGTGCCATCTTACTGGGTGTCTCCTTTCTCCTTTCTGACTGTTGTTGGATTTTTTTTCCCTAATAAAACTAATTTCCTCAGTAGTAGTAATACAAATAAGGTTAATAATTGGTTTTGAGGGAAAATTCCTAACACTGTGTGGAGTTAAAGAAGGCTTGTCTGTCTGAGTTAGAGTTCCAGACAGTAAATGAGATAGATAAATGTTTATTGACTGCTAGGCGCTCTCGCTCTATGTAACGTAAATGCCAAGACATGGTTACTCGTAAACCAATGAGAAAATATTCGGTGATGTACACCTTTCTTCTCCTAATGACATCAGCCTGGTTTTTCTACTGTCAAAATACTGAGTTTTAATGATGTTGACAATGTGAAATGTAAGTTGTGTGTGTCCTTTTTAATACCCTCTTTAAAAACACCCTGTATCGAAGTATATCTTTTTTCAGCCTTAATAGAACTGCTGACCAGCATTTGTGTTTCTCTCATCCTTTCTTAGAACATCTCATGAAGTTGTCTATGGAAGAACTTGTAGAATTTCTTCAGGAGACTCTTGCCAAGGATTTTTTCTTCGAGGATGATTTTGTAATAGAGCAACTTCAGGTTTCTATGGCAGAACTGAAGCGAGCAAAGTTAGATCTCCCAGAACCCGGTAAGAAGTGCCCTGGTACCACTCATCAAACTCGAGATCAGAGGGCGTGACTCAGCTGACCCTGACTTTGTTGTTGTTAAAATAAGCATTATACTTGTTGATAACATGCTATCAATTAGTGTCTTACCGGCTACTAGAGGATTTCCTTTCTTTTTTAAAAAACAATTGAAAATGTCCTTCATTTGCATGATGTACTTGACCGAATCCATCCACCATTGTCACCTCCCTCCTTCCCTCAGGTGCCCACTCTGACCTCCTCCTCCTCGTCTTGGAGTCTTTCTAAAAAGTTGTCATTACTTACCTCCGGGGCAGTTAGTGTTTATATGTTTATACATGATTATATATATCTTTAGTGTTCATAGATGGGTAGGATCATCCTTGGGTGTGGGCGAGAGGACAACCTACCAGCAGCTGTATCCCCAAAGAATGGTGGTTCTCTGTCCTTCAGCCGCCATCAGCTGCTTACGGTAACTCCTCTGCCAAGGATGGGACCTTGGCGCCCTTCCTGCATCTATATTGGGATTTTGGCTACAAAAGTGTCTTCTATGACCAAAGCTAATAGCAACACAGATCTGTGGTATAAAATTTAAAAGGTGATTGACAACATGATCATTTAGCAAAAATAAAAAACAAGAAAACCCAAATAATAGGTTTGCCCTTAGGGCTGATAACCTTGGTTGTCATGGACTTTTGACCAGATTTATAGATCCAGGTGTGAAATCATCTGTGCAACAGGAATCACCCCTAATCAGAAAGTGGTTGGCAACTCCTGTATCTGCCACGACACTGTTATAATAGTAGTACATTTTGCCAGGCAGGCCAGGATTGTAGCCCTCAGAGTTCAGTGCTTGGTGAGACCATGTTTGCCTTCTCCCCCCAGTAGCCTGCACAGTGCCTTCTGGCATTAAATAAACTCTCTAAAAGAAAGATACTTTCCCCGGTTAATCAAGGTTGGTTCTTTGTGTCCTGGTACTGAAGTATCTTCAACAACAGGGTCTTACCATCTCGTTATGGTGATTACCCAAGAGGAATGCTGGCAGCCTGTGCCGCTGTGGTGCTGGGGCTGAGCTGGCCAGTAATTCACAGGGAGATAGTTCGTGCCCGTCATGGAAATTTTCATCTAATAACCCATGTCTTCTTTTCTTTCACGTGTAAGCATGTTGATTAAATGTAGCTCTATTAAAACTGAAACTTAGAAAATTGATTGACAAACAGTAACTAATTTGAAGAGGCAAATAACAAATCCTTTATACTGATAATCTTGTTTTGGGAAACTGGGTACAGTAGTGGAGAACTAAAACCCTCCTGTAAATGAGGAAAAGGGGCTTACATGTGAAGGCCCAGGCCCACCAAAGACATCACCAAAACCAGGTCTAGCCATTGCCAGCTCTGTGCAGGCCTCTGTGTGAGATACGGCTTGTGTATACAGCTCCGCCTGTTAGGCTTCCTGCTGGGAACTTTGCTGTAGATTTAAAACCTGAAAGGAAAAGTGTTTTTCTTACTTCGGGAGAACAGATAGGAGAGACAGGATGTACATAAGCTTTAGTTAGTGAATGTAAAAGGGACACTTATAGAGGCAGGTATGAGATCCATGGGGACATCACAGGGCCAGTGAGAGGTGAGAGCATAAATAAGGAAACCTAGAAAGGTTGGAACAGCAACCTTTTTTAAATTTTAAGTTCTGACTGCATACTACTTGACCAAAATATCATGTTCTGGAAGTTAATTAATTTTTGCCATTTTCTCTTTGGCTGTTGCTCTAATAGATGGTGTGGTAAGGGGTCAGCAAAGGAGAAGATATGGATGGTGGGTGAAAAGCAGACTCAGTTATTCATGCTAATTGGGTTTGGCATTTCCTGATCATGCGCCTCATTTGATGTTCTTATAAGAAAGGAGGCAGAATTACATTCGTGAAGAGTTGTTTCCCCTCAGGAAGACCGAGAGCTTTAATCAGCACTCGAGTCCTGGGGTCATTGGAATTGACAGGAACACAGCTCCTCACAGTGGTGATTGAGCTGAGCTTGGGCCTTGGGAAACTGTGGCCTTTGCTAAGTGAGGTCGGCCTCCCTGTTCAGTATAATGATGCCTATTTTCCACTAATTCTCCCCTGGAGCAGGAAATGCATTTACAGCAGCAGTTACTATACTTTCCCTATTGTCGCATTTGTTTCTAAATATCTCGCCTATATTGAGTTTAAGAGTTTAAGGCACTTTCAAATAAAAGATACACATAAAAAAGAAAAAAACATAAAACTCACAAATGCATGGTGACGTAAAGTTTGAGACCTGGGTAATAGATCATGATAATAACTGCTTACCACCCAGTTAACAACTAGTGTTGTTCAGAATGCCACTATGTGTCACATATGTGACATATGTGGCGCTCTTCCCATTTATTTCCTATGAAAGCAACTAGAGTTGTATGCCTAATTTCATAGACGTGGCAGTGATAGTTTGTAATATATTTTCAGTAGGAAGGTGAGGAGAATGTGTCTGGAAGATAGAAGGAGAGGGTGGGTGACTAGAAGAGGAAGCACTGGCTAGATCCTGCTCCTGTCACATTGGCAGTTATGGCGGAACGTGGTGAGATCCCCCCGCATCTTTAGAACAATGATCTTTCCCTTAGTGTTTCTACTGTGGCAGTATTCGTTTTCAGAATGATCCTGCCCCATGGACTCCCATTGTTTTCCTTTCTGAGTTGCCATGATGTCGTGATGACGTGGGATAAATGTGGTATGAAATAACATTGCATCAAAATGCTTCCGTGTCATACCCATCCTTTAAACTGCTTATGTGTATGGGTGCTTTGCTGCATGTATATCGCCACACCACTTGTGTGCCTGGTGCTTAGAGGGGCCAGAGAGGACACTGGGTACTCTGGAACTGAGTTACAGACAGTTGTGAGCTGCCATGTGGGTGCTGGGAATCAGACATTGGTCTCTTGCAAGAGCACCCAGTGTTTACCTGCTGAGCCATATTTTCAGCCTCATAGCCATCCTTTAAAAAACATAATAATGATACTCCCACTGGCTCCTCACATACAACACTGAACTGTATGTTTGCCAAGCGTATGGCAGAATCCTCCCAAGTCCGTGTGCTGCAAGCCCATGTGCTGTGACCTTTTCAGTACTTGTGGTGTTTGATAGAGGAGCTCATCTCTGTGTTGGTGGACATTCCTCGAGTTTTACATCTGGTACCCTCCTGTATTTATTTCATTATCTGTGAGCTTGCCTGTTTGTCCTCTGTGCACTGTCTATGGGTATATAGTCTCCTGGCAGTTAAGGAAGTTACTAGCATACTGTGTGTTCTAAATTCTTCCCATAAACTTTTTCCTTGTGGCTTATTTGTACTACATAAAAACTTAACCAATATGAAGATCTCCCCTCCTTCCAGTATTCCTCATAATTTTTGCTGGGGCTTTTAAAAGCGTAAATGTTTTTAGTAGATATAGATTTGTCTGATGAAGTCTTAGACAGTGACTGGGCGTCTTACCTGCCTATTCCTCTCACTGCATACTGTAACTGGGTCAGTTGTCTCCACTTAACCTCTGAAGCTCTTCTGGTTTCTGTGTATTTCTGGCTATGGTTAAGTTGTCAGCATTCACTAATACTTAGTTATTTAAACTTTCCTGTTCTGTGCAACTCCCAGAACCACATCAGCTGTAGTAGAGTTGATGAAGTTCTGTGTTTTGGAGACTTTGTGAACATTTCTCTCAGCAGCATCAGTTAAATGGGGGCCACTGCCTCCTATGCTGTCTCCTTCCTCACAACACTGGGCAGGTGGTGAGGAAGGCCAGGTCTTCAGGAGAACACCCAAAGCCTTTAGCAGATGTAGAACAGTATTCCCTAGCTTCTCGGTTCCACTCCACCCTCCTTCCAGTCCAGCACTCTGGGGTGACATCACAGTAAAGGTGTAGTCTCCTGTGAGCAGTTTTGCCCAGTTCATTTGAATTATCAGCTTATCCTTTTGGAATATATTTATTGATATTTGTTTTTGTGCTTTGTTATGGTCTTAAGGACAACTTTTCTGCACTTGCTTTAGTATTTCATTTATTAAAGTCCAGAATATAATACCTAGGGATTTTTTAAAATTGTTTTTGTTTCATTAAAAGTTAGCATAATATTTTTAGATCTAGTAATATTAACATTTTTCTAAAGAATTTAGTTAATATTTGGTTCTATTTACAAATAACTACAAATATTTTATTTTAGATTGTGTTTACAAATTTATTGTATCCAACTTACCTTTAGCATATTTCACATTAGGAACAAATCTTGTATAGTTGTTAAATAACTGATATCTTCTGGGCAGCAGCTCGGTGATGTGAAATAACTGATATCTTCTGGGCAGCAGCTCGGTGATGTGAAATAACTGATATCTTCTGGGCAGCAGCTCGGTGATATGAAATAACTGATATCTTCTGGGCAACAGCTCGGTGATGTGAAATAACTGATATCTTCTGGGCAGCAGCTCGGTGATAGAGCACCTGCCCAGCACCGAAGGCTCCTTGCTCAAGCCCTAGCCCTATGAAACAGAACAAACCAATGAAATAACTTGGAGCCCTATTCATCCATAAGACTGTGCTAGATCTTTAATTTTCCTGAATGTACCAATGCTATTTGTGCACTTTAAAGTCAAAAGTTCAAATCAGTAACTAATTTATATATGTTAAATTGGTACCAAAAAAGGCCAATTATACAACTATAGCCAAATACTCTTAAATATTTTTAAAATATAAATAATAGAAAGAATAGATTATTTAATTAAAAATGCAACATCTATCAGGTACTTGCTTCCTTTAAACTTCTCTGTGCTTGTCTGGATCTTCAGGTGTTGAAATATGTTGTTAAATGTGGGGGCTGGGAGTGTAGTAGACATACATTCTGGGATTCTTGAGTTCTTAGCAGTGACCCTAACTGAGCACGCTCCTACTTTGCTTGCTTGCTTGCTCGCTTGCTCGCTTGCTTGCTCTCTCTGGGTTGGTGCCCTTTTGATGGTTTT